CTTAGAATTTAACGCCCTGGGATAGCCTTGAGATAAAATTTGTGATAGATAATATTGTCAGATTACGACTATCTCATACGGTATTTTAACATTAATAGAATGGTCAATATAATTCTAAATACAAATGCATCGAGTATTTTTGTATAATGGTTTAGAACTCGCTGTAACCCCAAGTTTAGAGCTAATATATCAGATTTTAACTTATTGGTATAGATGAACTTATCTTACCAAAGTGATGAGTTTGATATCCCTTTTAATATTTACAACTGATAAGTCCGTATTTAGACACGCATTTGATGCGTGTTCGGGTCGGATTTTGATGATTTTCCTGGCTTTAAGGCGTTGCAAGTCTCAATTTTGGCTCAAGTTGTGTTTAGCAGGCGTTGGATCAAGTTTCATTGCATTTGAAGTTGATTTGAAGAAGTTAGAGTCTGGCAATCGGCGCTTGAGAGGCATTCGGGAAGGATTTGAAGGCGTTCAAGAAAGATTTGAGAGATTTGGAGGTCACCGGGAGATTCACGATGAAATTCTGATGAAGAAAGAGCATTTGGATCGACCTCGTAGGCATCCGGTAGTGTTTGGAGCAAGAAAACGAAGGAAAAGTGAAGAATAGGGTCAGGCACGGTCGTGCCTAGAGTTAGGCACGCCGTGCCGGAAGAAAAATATTCCTGGGAGCTACTGGAGGCCAGGCACGGTCGTGCCTGGCAGCTAGGCACGCCGTGCCTGGCATTTATCGAGGAACTGAGCTACTGGAGGCCAGGCACGATCATGCCTGGCAGCTAGGCACGCCGTGCCTGGACGCGAAATTCGGCCTTCTTCCGTAGGCACGGTCGCAGGCACGGTCGTGCCTGGCACCGTGCCTGGCCGCGATTTGTCCTAATTCGACCCGAATTCGTTGTTTTGTATAAATAAGGCCTCCATAACCCCGTTTTGGGGGTTACGAACATTACGGAGAGGCCAAGGGACGAATTTAACACCGTTTTTACGCTATTTTCTTCCAAGACCCTGGGATTATTTGTAAGTTCATCTTTTTAATTAATGAGAATTATTTCTATTCATCTCAATTCTGTTGATTCTTCAATTATGAATTGTGAGTAGTTTAATTAGGGATTTGGATTGATGAAGGGGTTAATCATGATGTATGGCTAGATTCTTGTTGGTTTAATTGCATGAATGCCGTTTAATTTGTGTTTGAATAATTTAACTGATATCTTTTGTAACCTGGAACCGCGGCTAGAATTACAATTGCTGGTAGAATAAATTAAGAGAGATCTAGTTTATTCTAGGACACATTCACACACACTTAATCGTTCGCTAAGAGATTAGTAGCGATTAAGGGGTCGTAAGCTCGCTCGTCTTGGCAATAATTTAGGATCTTGTCGCATGAGAGATCAGCATGGTCCCCTAAATTATTGTACTATACGCCGCGAGAGCGGTAAGAACTTAGTAATGATTAGCTAGGCTCAATTAAATTAATTTCATGTAATTAAGCCTGGTCTGCCAGAAATCGGGTTACCCTGGAATCAATCCCTATTCCCTTCGTCATTAATTAGAGAGAAACCAATCTTTTTATTTTATTGCTCATTAGCATTAGTTTAATTTTCCAAACCAACCAATCTCGCACGACACTTTTATTTTATTTTCTTTTTAATCGCTGAATTTAGTTAATCTTTAATTCCCTTTTGTCCGTCCCTGTGGAGACGATACTCGTACTTACACCACCATATTACGATCTATTTTAAGTGCGAGAAAACACTCATCAGTTTTTGGCGCCGTTGCCGGGGACGGTGTCGGATTTAAGGGTTAATTAATTTTAGCGACTTGTTTTTAGTTTTCCGTAGGATTTTTGTCTGCTAACCTTGCAGGTCAGATCTGTTTATGCATATACGCTCTAAGAAGGGAGAATCACTAGTCCCTCTTAATCCTGAGATCGAGAAACTAGCTAAGCAGAACCGCAAGGCTTTACGAGAACAGAAAGCTACCATGGATCAACCATCTGCATCTGGAATAGCTGGGACGTCTGAGGTCCAAACCACTTCTGGTAATCTGGATTTTTATGTTAATACCTCTCCCCAGTCTTCACAAGAAAAATCACCTAGAGCTTATCCGGGGTATCAAAATCTCAGTACCCCATTCTTCCCCCAAAATCAGTCCACTCCACAATTAAATCTTCCACCACTCTATCAGCTCTTCCAAAATACTTATATTGCTCCCGAAACCACTTTTCAAAACCACACCTTTGGGATGCAAGGTCTAGGGCAAAACAATCCAGTCTTTCAGCCCAGACAGAACCAACCGTCAGTCACACAAAATCCACCCCTTTCTCAGCCACAAAATCAATCATTCCAAAACCAATATCAACAATTCCATCAGCCCCAACCACAGCCAAATATCATCCGTCCACAACCCATTAGACCACAACCAGTTCATCAGCCGAGATATCAAGCTCCTCCATATCAGAACTATGTCCCACACGACAATCCGCTCTATCAAGGAGAGACCATTGCAGACTTCCTAGCCCCCGAGATCACAGAGTATGACAGTATCCAAGTACCGGGAATTACTGCACCCCGTTACGAGATCAAGCCAGTGGTGATCAATATGGTCCTAAATAATCAATTCGGAGGGAGCCCTACGGAAGATCCAGTGGCACACATTACCAAATTTCTGAGGATGTGCCAGACTTTCAAGATTCCTGGGCTAGATGATGATCAGGTACGGATGCTACTATTCCCTTTCTCATTGAGGGATGACGCGCAGAGGTGGTTGGATAGCAATCCACATCACCACATTCAGACTTGGGATCAGCTGCACAAGGCCTTCATAAAAGAATACTTCCCAACATCTAAGGCCATAAAGTTGAAGAAGCAGCTACAGGAATTCAAGCAAGGTTCTTTGGAGACATTGGCTGAGGCGTGGAAGAGATTCAAGGTGCTGAGAAGAGCTTGCCCTCAAGGCAAGATGACTGATTGTGAGGTTCTATCTTGCTTCTACAGTGGACTCAACAACGAAGGAAAGATGATGCTTGATGCTTCGGGAGGTGGAGCTTTTCCTTAGTTGCCATCCGAGATTGCGGAAGAATTAGTTGAGAAGATTGTGTCTAATAATGCTTCATGGTATAGCTCTCGGGACACACCTCACCAGAAGGCCCCGGGATTGTACGAGATCAGTGAGAATTCTGCCCTTTCTGCAAGGGTAGATGCTTTGACCAGTATGATTCAGAAACTTGCTACTACTGTGGAAGACAATCAAAAGAAGACGGAACTTGCTCTCTCGGTGCCCAGTGTTAATATGGTAGCCCCCGTTCCTATTAGTCCCTCTTGTACTATGTGTGGGGGACTCCATTCGCCGCATGAATGCACGATGATGGCACACTCGGCAGCCCCTGGAGTAGAGCAAGTGGATGCAATGTATTATCAGCGGCACGGTTATTACAATCAGCCCTACGGACAGCAGCAACAGGGGAATTACGGGCAAGGAAATCAGCAGCAGCAATCTAGGAACTATAATCAGCCCCAAGCACCTCAAGGCCAGCAGCAAGCACCTCAGCCGGGGCAAGAAAATTTTATGAGAGAGACTGACCAAAAGTTTGCTAGCTTGGAGGAAACCCTCAAATGTTTCATACAAGCTTCTGAGGTAAATAATCAACAAGCAAATGCAAGGATGCAAAACATGGAAAATCAAATAGGGCAACTTGCAAAAGCCGTATATGAGAGGCCTCAAGGATCCCTCCCTAGTAATACCGAGCCAAACCCAAGAGAACATGTCCAGGCAATCACCTTGAGGCCGTGTAGTTACTGGATTGATTTTTCCCCTTCCTGAGATATGAGAGCCTTAATTGTTTTTGCCTTTGACATCCTAATTGCTTGCTATTTATTAATCATCACGGTGAGAATTTTCAAAAGTTCTGTATTTACCAATTACTGCCACTTGTTATCATGGAGGCATCCGTATCCATTTTTAAATATAATAGCTAATGCAAAGTTTGAAACTTTGCAAGTGGATTGATAACTCAGTTGCTGATGTGGTACTGAATATAAATCACACATTGTTACATGCTTACAAATTCATTTTGGTGTTAAATAGTCGAAGTTGCAAATTTGTGCTTTTAGTTACTGAACTGGCCTTTTCTGAAGTTTAAAAAATTCATGTGTTTACTTGCTTAAAAAATTTCTGATGCTTAATTTTCATATTTGCTTGATTTAACCAACTTTGAGTTTCCATTTGAATTAAGGAATGGCTCCAGGAATTAAGGAAAAGCTTCAAATGAAAAACAAATTTAGCACATCTCAATCAGATTGTGGACGCCATGCATCGAAGAAAGTTTCACCAAAGTTTGTGACTCTGGGAGGAATTAAAGGAGTTTTAGGAAAAACAAATATGGCATCTGATGGCAAAAGTATTAGTACAAGAAATGAGACCCTTGTACAAAATATTTCATCTAAAAGATGTGCAACAACTACAACACAATTAAGTCCGGAACGAGAGGATACTGGATCAATTCAAAGTCATGAAAGTGCAGCAAATTGCAGTCCTCATATTACATCACCAGAAACCCACGTTGAAGGAGGTACCTATCATGACCGTAGAATGTGAATAATATTGTTAGGCTAACATGACAATCTCTATTTTTTCTGTGCATTGTTATGATCCATATAGCTCCTCGCTCCAAGAAAAGAGGTCGGGGTCAGACAATGGGAAAGGGCATTATGAAGGCGTTTGAGGCATCCAAGACAAAGATGAAGATAACTGTGGATCCATCCGTTGGAAGACCTAAAAATGGTGAGCAGTCAGCAAAACTGTCTAGTCAAATTGGTATTGTGACTCGTGATGTGATTCCAGTTCCTAGAAGGTGGAAAGAAGTAGATGAGGAAAATGGATTGGGACCTAGATTGGATCACTTACAGGTATAGTTACTCATAAAAACAATTTACTTTACTTCAATTCTCTTTCAATCTAAAATATGTACTTGAAACTTGCAGATGCATGTGGATGTCAATGTTGGTGATCCGGGTGTTAAAGAAAGCTTGATTGAAAGGTTGAAAAATAGTTCTCGACAAATGCGTTACAAGCTGCATAAACATTACAAACAGTTTGGAACTATGGAAATGGCTAAAAGCAATAAGCCAGACTTTTGCCTAAACCAAGAGAACTGGGAATCATTGTGTGAACATTTTGCATCACCTAAGTTCAAGGTAAGTCACCTGATCGAAACTTTCAAGGTAGAAAGTAATATTTTTATATTCAACTAAATGATACATCACTTTGATACATTTGACTATAGAAATCAAGCATCACAAACTCGGGAAACAGGAAACTTGTGCGAGCTCCACATATTTGTGGTAGGAAGCCTTTCACTGTCCGAAGACAAGAAATTGTGAGTCAAAATAAAACTTTTATGTTCAAATAAAGCTTTGAATGCTGATTTTACTCTGTAATGAATGCTGATTTTTTTAGCAGTTCACTCGTTGATGTACAGAATAAGTGTTCATGATCATTTGATGATAAGATTGAATTTATGTTGCTTAGATGATTAGGCCCATCATAGTGGCGTTGATTTTTCAAAAGCTGTACTGATCACTTTTTAGCTAGTGGAAACATGTACAGAAAATGTATGACAGGAAAGAACTGAAGTTTAACTATATTAAATGTTTGAGAGAATCAAAATCAGGGAGAGGAATATCGGGGAGAGGAATATCGAGAAGATATAAAGACATTTCCAACAGGATAAGATAAAGTGGGCTGAATATTCCTCTTGTTTTATTTTCATTGAAAATAATGTAAAACTGGCAAATGGTTCATGAAATTTAAATTCGTATTTCCTAACAAATGTATAAAACAGTATGCACTTGTATGATTAATGTTGTCTTAGGGTTATTGTTCATAATTACACTTCTGTTATAGTTATTGTTCTTGAAGGCTAAGGCATTCTTGAGGTTTTAGTTACACTGTCAGATTGTGATACGCCATGTTGTTATAGGTCTATTATCCAATTCCCAGCCAGTATCATAAGTTGTAGTAGGATTTAGAGCAATTGATTTATCAAAACCTCAGACCTCAATGTCATCATAGGAGGAAAGAATTCTATAGTGAAGTCAATGAAATGCATAGTATATTTTGGAAGAGAATGTAGTCTTTATTGTCTGTGTTCTCCCTCAAGATAAGGCTGTTCATGTTGAACTATTGCGATTGGGTGAGCTTCTTCTTACCCTTTGTACAGTAATAAAGTTCATATTAGGTGTGAAAAAAAAGTTACACTATTGTAATGAAGACTGAAATAAGTATACAAGATCATTTGATTTTTCCTGATTTGAAATCCATTTGATGTGAATCAGTACCTTTTTATCCATGTTAATACAAATCTTTTCAGTCTGAACAGGAGCTAAATGGAGATTCTTGTGATAGGATTGAGCTCTATAAACGAACTCATTATTCAGAAAAAAATGGCTGGTCATCTAAAGTGGCAGAAGAGAATTGGGTACTTATATACTAATCTGATCCTTCATAATCAACTCTAACCTGTTTTGTTGGAAATAATTTTAATCTACTTGTTATTGATATGTGCGATTAGGAGTTGATGAAAAAGAAACAAGAACAATATAAAGAAGAAGGATGTGACAAAAGTTCTGATGATATTGTTCTTGAGGTTCTTGGGCATGGCGCTGGCTACATCAAAGGCCTTGGATATGGACCTAAACCGATTAGCAGACGCTATAATGCTAATTCTTATGCCACCCAACAGCTTCAGAAACAACTTCAAGATGCACAACAAAAGTTAGAGATGTCTGAATCTCAAGTTGGCGGGCTTAACACTAAAGTTGAAGATACTGAAAAGGAGGTGTTTGATTTGAGAAATCAATTAGCAGAGCAAGCTTCAAACATGGGGAAAATTATGGCGTTTATGGCTGCTCAAGGAATGACTTTATAAGCAATATGTTAGGCTATTTAGATATTCATTTATTCTTCTCACACTTTGCGTTATATTTACATTCCCTATTTGAATGATTTGGATGTTCATGTTTTACATGCATCTTGAATATTGTGCAGTGTCTCTCATTATTGTAAGACACTGAAGTTTGATGTTATTTTATGCATTTAAGTAACATTTATTAAATATAGAAGGTTTATTCCTGAAAGTATGGATGCCATTTTTTATACGAGTATATGTTAAAAAAGTGACATTAATTCAACGATCATATTGTCGCTGTTTAAATTGGAATAGTGACAATTAAACATTGCATATATAATATTAAATCACAATAGTCATGCGTAGCTATATGTACTCATGTAATGACAAAATCACGTTGTCATTTTAATTAATGTATTTTGACAATATTTATGTCACTAAAAAGTAGCAATTATGACAATTCATTTGTCACAATATTAATCATATAATGACAAAATCACGTTTTGTCATTTTAATTAATAACTAATGTATTTTGACAATATTTATTTGTCACTAAAAAGTAGGAATTATGACATTTCATTTGTCACAATATTAATCTCTAATGATGACGTAAATATATAATTGTCACTTTATATATGCTTAATAATGACGATTAGTTAAATCGTCAAATATAATATTTTATTGACAATTCTACTTTTGTCATTATTTACATTTTAGATTGTCGGCATAAATACTTTATAAGTGACAAAAAAAACTTGTAACTAAAATAGCTATAATTGATGACAATTTTTGTTTTCAATGACGAATTACATGGCTCTACTATGACAATTTTATTGTCACTATAATTAATTTTTTTTAGATCATAACGGTAATTGTCACTATATAGTACATTTTGTTGACAACATCGTATGTCGTCATGTATTGTGTTAAGCAAAGATGACAAAATTGCTACTTTGACGACGAAAATATTGACACTAAAGTGACACATATGTTGTCACTAAAACTGATTAGTAATGATGACAAAGATCTAAATCGTCATTAAATATAGATAAATGGTGACGAATTTAAAAAGTGTCACATAATTCTTTTGCCACGGAGCTACGATGACAAACGTTGTGACAAATAAAAGTCGTCATATATAAGTTTTAGTGACGAAAATTGAAGCTTATGTGACAAATATTGTTGTCACATTTAGTCAAATTTCTTGTAGTGAGGAGTGGAAGAGAGCTAGAACCTGCTGCCACAACAAAGAAGCCCGATGAAGTTGAAGTTGAACCGGCTGCCCGGGAAGAAGAAAAGGAGAAAGAAGAGGGAAGAGAGGTGGCGGCTGCACCAAAACAGCCCGTTCCGGTCAAGAATTACACCCCACCTCTCCCCTATCCGGCACGATTGACAAGGAAGAATGATAGTGACCAGTTTAGTCATTTTTTGAAACTCATGAAACAAATCCAGCTTAACATACCATTCGTGGATGCACTAGCACAAATGCCAAAGTACGCGAAGTTCATGAAGGATCTGCTTACTAACAAGAGGAAGTTGGAAGAAGCATCAACTATGAGGCTTAACGTGGACTGCTCAGCTGTGATTAGGAGGGATCTACCAGAGAAGCTTAAGGATCCAGGTTCTTTTACTATACCCTGCTTAATAGGAGATCTTTCTTTTGATAGGGCCTTGGCTGATTTGGGTGCAAGCATTAATTTGATGCCATTCACTTTGTACGAAAAGCTTGCACTCGGTCCACTTAAACCTACACGTATGTGCATTCAGTTGGCTGATCGGTCAGTCAAATATCCCCAAGGGATTGTAGAAGACGTGTTGGTTAAAGTGGACAAGTTTATTATTCCCGTACACTTCGTTATTTTGGACATGGATCAGGATCGAGAGGTACCATTGATTTTGGGCAGACCATTCTTGGCAACTGCCCGAGCACTTATTGATGTTGGAGACGGTAAGCTTGTCCTCCGCGTTAGAGATGAGACTGCCACCTTTGATATGTCCAAAATAATGAAGAGGCCCTGTCAGGATAGTGGAGAGTGTTTTCATTTGGATGACATAGATTCGATGGTGAAGGATTGCACCCCTAACATGCTTTCTAATGAATCCCTTTCGGACCTTTTGTTTGAGGATAGTGTGTCAGCAGAGGATCTTGAGCCCCTCCCTAGTTTTGATTGTCTTATGATAAGTGGAGAGGAGGACTCAAGTGATGCTAGTTCTGTGCAGGGAACGGAAGATGATTTAGATAAGGTGGAGAAGGAAAATTTTCAGCCCGATTCCTTTTTTGTTAGTCCTTCTCCATTAAATTTAAAGTCTCTTCCCTCCCACCTTGAGTATGCGTTTCTTGTTGATAGTCCTGACCTCCATATTCTTCTTGCATCCGGGCTTGAGTCATCTCAAAAATTCACATGTTTTGATTTACTTAGTGAACAAGGGGAAGTTCTAGCCCGGAAAATTTTTGACAAGGAAGGGAATTGTCCATTGTTTGACCCATTCTTTGCTAAAGGGCCGGATAAAGCCCACGATCCATTCTGTTGCTTTACGGGTAACCCGGAGATGCGTAATTGTTTTCATGAATTTAAGGTCTCACGCCATCTCAGGGCATTTGTTGATAGGAGGTTTGATTTGTGGAAGACTAATTTTCTGAGTGGGAGTGTCTTTGATTGAGTTTTTGATGAGGTGGTTGCGTCGGGCACACGACGTTAAAAATAGCGCTTCTCGGGAGGCAACCCGAGCTTATTTCTACTTTTGCTTTTGCTTTGTTTGTTGTTTGGTTGTTTTGCTTTGTGTTTTTGTTGCAGCTCAGGGTCTTGTGGTATGGATGATGTGCCGAGGATTACATTGACTCAGTTTAGTTTTGCATCGACCAGCGCCATAGGGAAGTTTCTTTGATTCTTTTACTCGCTTGTTGTAATAATGACTTGAGTTAAGTTGAGCACGTGTGACCCTTTCCTCTTTACCCCCTTGTGCATAGTGCATTTTTGGTCATCGAGGACGATGCCAAAGTTTAAGTGTGGGGGAGTGAATTGGGCATTCGGGCAGTGGTTGTTACATGAGATTTATTAGAGTTAGCATGTGCAGGTGTTAGTTGTATATTCATAGGAAATTCATGCAAAATTTTTGAAAATTTTCCTTTAAACTGTGTCTTTGTGAGCTGGCTAGCGTTTTGACTATGCTTTCAGAACATTTTTGAAGTGTTTAGGCTTAAATTGCTTGCACTATAATCTAGTTGTTGAGAGGATGCGTATCTCATTACTTTTCTTGGCCGCTACTGCCACGCACGCACGCCGTGCGTCCCTGTACGCACGGCCATGCGTGGCCTTTCTTCTTCACTTTCTTCGATTTCTTCCGTTTTAAGCCTCCGTTTGACCACTCGATCGATCCAATAGCTCTTTCTTCATCAAAACATCATCGTGAATCTCCCGGTGGCCTCTAGAACTGCGAATTCACTCTCGAATGCTTCTTAACTCGTCCCGATCTCTTCTCAAATGCCGATGCCGGGTCCCAAAAACCTGATTTCAATTCTGAAAATGCCAAAACTCGTACCCACGCCCGGTACACATGACTTGAGCTAAAATTGAGACTTACGACACCCAAAAGCTAGGACAACCATCAAAATCTGACTCCAACACGCATCAAATGCGTGTTGAAATACGAACTTATCAGAGGATGAAGGCATTAGTCACCCATTGAACTCTCCATTAATCATCCACCCCACCTGAAAGAACCCTTTACGAGAAGCCATTTTGAGCCTGACCGTTTATTGTTACCCAATTAATTGAGCTCCATAGCCAAATGGCCTGTTTCTTTGCCCGTGAATATTTCTGACTTAGTCTTGATGTTTAGGGAATTAAGGGATTAATTTGCCATGTTTAGGGAATTTTGTGTAGGAGCCATTTTTGGCACTGTTCCTATGCCCCAAATGGGGTAAGAGCAGTCACTTTTTAGGAATTTGATACTTTCGAGGATTGCATTGTAGGCATGGATTTACTTTTAAATTAATGAACTTAAATTGCTATTTTTCCTTGGTGAGGCCGAGATTAGAATGGGGTAATGTCTAGTGAGAATCCGAAAGGTGAAAAATTAATATAGCTAGACCTCTTGCCTTACGAAAAAGAGAATGGGAGCCCCGGTCAAAAAGTGTAAGATGAGACTTGGGTATCTTTCGAAAGAAACGGCGTTCTCGTGCCAACATGACAAGGGAAACTGAATTTAATTAATGAACTTGGAGGATATCTCAAAATTTAGTTTTAGTCCTCCGCGTACTTCAAGTTTACGTCAAAGCACAAATGTGCCGCGGCGGTTTAGCTTAGTTGTACACCATGTCTACTATTTGCATAGGTTTAAATGATTGTTCCTAATTTGTGGCCTACTGAGTTCCTTGTTCCTAAGAATAGCCCTGAAGTTCCTGAATGCATTGAGTCTTTGTTAGAATATTCCGATCTCTCAAAATAAAGGGGCTATCATTATTATCCATTCTCCATCACATTCACAAGTCCTTCTGATCAGTAGCTAGCTTATTTGTGTAGGCTGTCATTACTTTGAGGATGTTGTGAATAATTGTGTCAAATAGTTTAGCTTGAGTACAAAGGCGTAGTTTAGGGAAGAATTTTCTTGGTTTAGATTGGCTATCCTGTGAATATCCCTTTAACTACGTGTGTATGCTAACTATTTTAAATTTCGTGTGGTGATTATCGTAAGTCCCGTTGTTCGATTTGCT